GTTTAGGTAAACTTTTAAGGCAATTTTAGCAATTTCAACTAAATGCAAACATTGGCAGGTAATATATTTCAAGTTATATTTCAATAACTGATATTGTGCTTGAAGCTAAATAGCCGGTGACTTTTCCAGTCATTTTGACCGGTGCTACATTGTCCAGTGTTCAGCCGTTTGGCGGTCCCACATTTGTTTTGTCTGCTGAAATAATTTCTGGCAGTATTTTCTGGTAATTTTTTGAGATCGTTTTGCAGTTTCTGATTGACGAATGCAGTGAAAAATAGGATAGTAACAAAGACAAGTACGCTCCTCTAAAGCATTATTAACAGACGTTTTGACACTGCCATTTTTATTAGCAAAGATTCCTCGAAAAGAACAGACTTCTTTCTTCTCCTAGTCTCTCCGTAGCTCTCGCCAGTAATTAGTAGAATCTCATATATTTGTTTTTGATTACGAAATGTTTAAAAACTATGCCATCAAGAGAAAGACCGGTACCAAGCTTTTTTGAGATAAAAGGCCTGATTAATTTGACTGTTTTTTGGATTGGAAAATATTAAAAATATGTATATAAATATTATTTCTTGGTTGTTTTTGTTCATTTTTGAAATGTTCGTAAATTTTTCAAGTACCATACAAACTGATCTATAAACTCGAAAGAAATTGCCTATCCCAATTTATTTTTATACTGTTATTTGCAAAAACAGCTACGCACATCATAGCACTTAAATAAAGAGCATTTCTCTGTTTATTTGAAAAGCAGCTTTGGAATGTTTTTTAATCGATCCGCATTTAACCAGGAAGTAGCAATACTCACATCCTGAATCTCAAATACTGAAGAAAGAAAGGAACGAGGGCAAAAAATGTCCATGAGTCAGTTTGTCGAGAAATTGAGACTTAGGAGAGCCAAGATCAAAAATTTTGCATTCACTTTCTTTGTAATGAGAGTGGAAAATAAAAATTAGTTAAGTAAAATTTCAAGGCTGTATCTCTAAGAATTCCAGGAAAAAGATGCGCAGAAATTAGGAGCTGTTTTTTATACGCCAAAAAAAAAACCTTTAGAAAAATAGAAAGCAGAACTGTTAAACTCGGTGTCCAATTTTGTAAGTAATTAACAAGAACAAAAACGCGGATTTCATACGGCTTTGCCGACATTTTTTGCAAAACAACAAAATGATTTCAGTAACGATATATACAAAAAGCAAAAAAATAAATCAACGGAACAGAAATATCTTGGCCCATCAGCATCACCAGTGGATCTCATTGATGGGGCAGTTGTGGTGTTAATTAAGAATGTTTAAAATATGAGCGTGGATGTGCCACATAAATGTTCATCCGAAACCGAAGAAAATATAATAAAAAATAAGGAAACAAATGTGCCACATAAGCAAAAAAAGAAGAAGGATCTATCTAAGCGAAAACAAAGAGAGAAAGGTGGAGAAATCGAAAAAATTTGTTGAAACAAAAGAAGAAAATAGTCGGAAAAAATTCAGAGGCATTAACAAAGACGAAAGAGAGCTAAAATTTTCGTCGTTTCAACTCGTATAAAAAAAGAACTGCAGAACAAAATGAGAGAAAATACAAATAAAAGATGGGAGGAGGAAGAAGATCAAAAATTGAAAAATAAAGAATTTCAACAAAAAGGAAGATTTTCTTGAAATGACTAATGTGCTTCAGTGAGTCAAAAAATTTAATTCACATGCTGGGAAAAAAATCTGAAAAAGGATGATTTCTGATTGTGACGGATTTAACTGATCGTGCGGGAAATAATCATTTGAGCTAAATATTTCTGAAGGATCCCTAAGAACTGATTATTTGAGAAGGGAGATTTACCGGAATTCAGTTTCTTGAATTTTAGAGTTCATTGATAAACTTTGAATAAACAAAACTTCTGCTATGAAAGAAATAGAGGCTTGTGCTACTCAAAAATAAGCTAAAATAGTTGCACCATTGAACGATTTGAAACGTATCTATCTTTAACAACTCCAGTTCAAAATGCGTTTCTCCAGACATGCAGCTAGCAACTTTTTTAGTTGTTATGACCAACGCTGCATTAGCCGGTAGTCAGCTTGCTGGTGTTCATTTCTTCTCCAGAAAAAATTATCAGCTCTAAAAGAGTTTTAATAAATTCTTATGCGGGTGGAATTCAGATATAAGTTAAAGGCGCAACTTCGCCAATAGTAAAAAAATATTATAGATTATTTTCTAACAAATTTAAAAAAAAAATAATTCACAGTAATCTACATGCCATCACTGTAGATTGCTGTAAATTATTTTTATTCGATTTGTTAAAAAGCTGTTTCGAAAGTAGCACTTGCTTGAATTTCAAAATTTTTCTATTGTTTTGTTTCTTCTGTCTTTGAGAAAAAAAACGACGTGTTTGCGTTGCGAATTCGTTCTGAAGCTTTTTAAAATGATGTATTATCATAGCTAAGCATGTTTTCAACACTGTTCAAGATGAATGTAAATAATTGAATTTCTTGGCTCTGCGTCACTTCTGTTTTTAGTGACGCACAGCCACGAAGTTCATGCTTCTTCGTACTTCTGGTTAGGATATGTGTACCACTTATATACAGACCACTCTATACTGTCTATGACATGCAGTATAAAATATCCCAGAATTTTCTGAGGCATTCACGCGGAGCAATGCTCTTAA